AAGGCCGTGGTCTAGGCAACACGGGGTTTTCCTCCGTGGCATCCCCACAATTACTCCATTCACACCCAGAAGAAGGCAATGGCAAACCCCTTCTGGATCATCTGCCAAGAACGTATATGAACAGGTCCCAGTCCGAGAAAAGGATGGAAGGATCCTGTTCATATGGACCTGTCGTCAGACAGAACACTAAATAATAATGGTAAAACTGTGTACCACTAAACACGAAATCTCATGGTCGGTCGTAAATCTCGTGCAATGTAACCATAAAACAGTATAAGTCGACGCACTAATAATAATCTCTCGACAATTCTCGGCTCACCACTTACAGCAGAAGCTACCTTCCATTTAAATGGCGAAGGTACGGTCCGTCTAAGCGGAGAATTGACTCGAGCTTGAAGCCATACCGTCATGCTGAATGCTGTCCTGAAAACATTGACCCTTCCAGTTGGAACAATGCGCACGATGTTTCATGCTAAAGCCGTGTTGCCGCTGTCCAGATTTCCTTTTGCTAGATTCTGTATGAACTATGACATACGAAAAACAAAAGAATGGGACATGCACTAGAACGTTAGAAATCTAAAGGAGATCCGAGAGTCAGCCGATGTGTCTCTACCGGGTAATGGAACTATTGTGGTCACAGGTATTATACGGAAGGCGTAATAAAAATACGGAACTAACAATTTTCTAATTCCTAAACCGGAAGTGATGTACATATCATAAATCCCTGTTAATTGTACGTATCTGGCTTTCTATACCTTCAATTAGCATCTTGCCGGGTATTTATTATTCATGCCAGCAATTTAAAATTGTTCTGTAATGTCGTGAGGTGTCTATTGATGTGATATTCATATGTAGGTTCATGAAAAACCGACTCAATGTTACAACACCACATTAAACTAAATTCAGGATATAATATGGGGCTGTATACAAAAAACAAGAAAAACTTGTTAATAAGTAAACAAAGGTGGATTGGCGGTCATGAATATGAATTGCTTGTACGACTTATAAAATTCACAAACAGAACGCTGATTTGTAAATACACTTGCTACTGCTCGAGCGAAACGGAAGTTTCCACATCTTGGAACACGTCACGTGACAGCTGCCATTATCTGAATACGCCCCTCAGCGCGAGAGCTTGCCACGTGCATAGCAGAACTGGTGTTCCAGGCACAACGATTCTCTCTCGAGAGAGAAAAAAAACATGGCGCCAATCATTTCATCACAGAAGATGGCTGACACATTCCGTATCAGGTTCAAATATCTGTGAACGACAATAGCAAAACAAACTGCTTTTTTCGGATTCCAGTACCCTGGACGGGGTAGAATTAATATCCTCAGCCAAAGTGCTGATGTAATGACCATATTTCTCCTAATTACACGTCCAATTTTCATTTACTTCCACTAAAGTTCGCCACATTCAGCTCCAAATTGACCGAGGAATTTTTATAAGTAAAAACATTCATCACAAGCTGAGAGCCAGATTTTTTTTGGTACGGTGCACAGTGAAAGGTCATGACGTCATAAAAGGCATTTTGTACAGCGGCATATGTGCTGCCCTTCGCGGGAACTAAAGCAGTTTCTTCGTCCACACGTTAAGAGTTTTCGACTGAAAATGGCGACCTGCTAATTCTCTTTGACATCTCTACTTTCATCCATGGTCACAGAATAGACAACGAAGTTCAAACACTTGGGACTTCAAAGATCTGGCAATATTATCGGACAAGTGATCTATTCCCTCGTTAACAAAGTTAGTGCTTTAAAGACAAGCACACAACTACTCTACAATTGTGCTTGGAATTTAAAACTGTATTTATGTCAATACAACGTATTGATTAAAACAAATTCAGACATCACGACCCATATATTTGACCTTCGTTAACAATACTAGTCTTCGGCGAAACCAAATGGCCTACCAGCGAGTGTGGATGTCCAAGCTAAGTACATGCCTCGCTCATTTGTCATACGTCTGATACCAAATCACTTTTCTCTCTTCAAATTATGCAAACATATTTGCGTCTTTACTTAAGTCATCCGACATAAATAACTGTAAATAATGAAACCTACAGGAAAGCCACAAACGGATACAAAAAATAAATAAAGTGTGTATGATTCAATTATGACGCTAGCCGTAAGAATGAATCACTTCCGGTTTCGGATTTGGGAAATTTATTATCAGTGTGTCCAACCTTGACTACAGAAACGTCCTTCTAGCCTATAGATTATCAATCATGCTGGATTAGAAGAAGGTTATTTGTTGTTTTTTTTTTACACGATATGCTTAAAAGCGGATCGTATAATTAAAGGCGCAACTATTTTAATGAGAGAGACTGATAAAATGTATGAGGGCTGTACAAAACATCGGTGGGAAGTTCTGTTCTAAAAGATACGACGAAACTATTTGGGGACCAAGTGCTGAGACGAATACTTGAGCTCATGGGACATGAGGCTAGCTGAAATTCCGTGGGAAACTTCATCATGACAGACCTTCAGATGGGCGGGGCATATACCACACATGCGAGAACAAAGTGGGACGCAAAACAGACGAGAGGTTGGTATTAAATGGTTTACGTTCAAGAACCTGGGAGAGACAGCGAGAACTGGATTAATCCAGTTCAGGATATGGTTTCATAGCAGGCTGATGTTAATGCAGTAATAACTTTGCGTAGTAAAAGGTTGCTTCAAAGCTCAAATACAAAACTTAACGAAACTTTAGCGAAGCTCACGTGGAGAAAAATACGTAATTAATTATTAATTGTGTAAAAACAGTTTCAATTCTGTAAAAACACCTCGAATCACAATAATAAACGTGACACAAACGTAAAATTTACGTAACGCGGAAACAGTGGTAAATCCGGGGGAGGGGGGGGCGGAAACTTTCAGTACATTTCATGCTCAAAAATGATCTTTCCAAAAAAAAACCTCCATAAACAGCTCCAATTCAACCTGTATAAATGGCGAGGAATTTCACCCAACTACATCAGCAACTATTAGCTTGTCAATACAGAATCTGCCTGATAAAGTTATAGTTAATTAGTGCACGTATATTTCAGTCCACAAAACTTAAAAATAAATTACGTAGGATTTGGAACTTTTCACGGTGGTGAGTCTGGGTTGTAACGCCGTGTAGTCTGGTAAAAGTTTACCGTCCTTGCTACTAGACTCCATGGCAGTACAACCCAGAAGACAAGACATCCTCTGAAAAAAGAAATGTTCAGTCTAATACAGGACAATACCACATCACACCTAATGCAAAGACCATTTCTTCTCCCACAGTTGATAAATGCTAAATTTGTCACCTTGTCAGTGATTTCATTATCGCAGAATCAGAGACTATAAGATAACGAACGACCTGTAGCTAAGAACATACGAAGTGCAATCGGAAAGTTTCAAGACTATGTCAATAGAAGGCGAACCGGAAGTAGGACGAGCTTCTGCCGCTAGGGGTTGCGGCCTACATTCATAGTGAATCAGTGTGCCAGCCGGCATCATCGAATTAGCATTTGTTTCTTAGTTACGGGCGTTTTGGTAGTGCATTACACCGACCCTCCTGCGATTTCGGAATGGCGTGTGCATCAAATTTTGCCAAAGACTCGCCTAAACGGCTACGGAAACCTATGAAATGCTAAAGCAAGCATTTGGGGAGTCCGCAATGGGTCGTGCACCAACTTTTGTGTGGCATTCACGTTTTAAAAATGGCCGAACTTCTGTCGATGATGACGAGCGTTCTGGACGACCATCTTCGAGCACAACGCCCGAAAATGTTACGAAGATCGACGTCGTACCATCAACGACTTGTGCGACATTGTTGGTATAGGCTATGGGGCCTGTCAGCTGATTCTAAAGGAAGAACTCTACATGCGACGCATCGCAGCCAAGTTTGTGCCAAGGCTCCTGTCTGAGGACCAGAAGCAGAATCGACTTCTCGTTTGTCAGGAGCTCAAAGATCTTGCAAGAACCGACCCCAACTTCCTTTCTAAGGTTTCCTCTTCTCAAAGATGAAAATTCAGCTAAAGGGAATGAGATTTGAGACGATAGAAGAGATTCAGGCAGAATCGCAGATGGTGCTTGACAGGCTGACAAAGAAAGATTTCCAGGGATGCTTCCAGGCTTGGCAGCGGCGCTGGGATCGTTGTGTTCACTCCCAGGGGAACTACTTCGAGGGTGATGGATGAATTTAATACCTGAGATAAGTGTACGGGTTTTTATAGGCGCAGTCTGGAAACTTTCCGATCGCACCTCGTAGTTCAGGCAACTACGGTCGTCGACCACCGAGAGCTCGACAGTTACTCGCCTCTTACGCAACACACAGCGTGTTTACAACAGACGTTTAAGAGTTACAGTAAAGTACCTCAGAATGAGATCACACGACGTCGATCACTGTCCACTGTCCTGAAGAGATAGCTGTGGACGCGGAAGAACTCCGAGGAACACGGGCACAAGGAACGGAGGAGAGAATTCAAGAAATAAAGAGGACAGAAGAAAATGCAGACTTTGTTCTGGGGCAGGAGTTGCTGTAACACTGCGCTGCCTTGCACCTTGCACTACGCCAGATAACAGAACACGCATTTCAAATCACGTGACGAACTGGACATCAGGAACTTTTGCCGTGCAAATTATACCATTTATGCCTAATTTAACGCCACAAAGTGAAGGGAGGTCGAAGCTAAGATCTTGTACAAAAAAAAAAGATCATAACACCGTAAGAACGTATTTCACTTACTCAAAGGGAAAATTTTAAAACATGAAACAACCTTTAAAAATTAAATTTCTCTGCTGGTGCAATGCGAAATAGATCTTCTTAAGACTATTATTTTTAATCTTCAGCTACAATTCAGCAGTCAACCGCAGATTTCTAAATACTTGTCGGAAATCTGGCAAGCCAGTCAATAAATAATTTCCGACAGACGTTAAGAAAAAAATAAAATTCAGTCACCGTAAGAAATCCAAAATTTAGCCTGCAGAATATCTGAGGAAAGTATTCTTTTCTAATAAATGCAATTTTCAGGGGTTTTTTCAGAGACACTCACGCACAGAGGTAAATGCAGAAACTTAGCATCCAATGAAAATATATCATTGGGTCTAAACCTTTGTTCCTGATGATGGAATTATTAATGGTAACAAATACGTTATCAATTTTGTCGACTATAATGGTCACTGAACTTAAAATATGTCAGTGCATCAGAACCTCATTCATGCCTTGTATCGAAGAAAGTGGATAATCTTTATATGGCATTAATATAACTTGTTTGGAGTTGTCAGAAACTTGCCTTAAGCATTTCGAAAATATTTAGGAGTTTATAAGGACAGGTTGAGAAAATTGAATTGTATAAAAAATATAACAAACTACTAGAAAGTTATACGGGTATGGTTCACAATCCAAAAAATTTAAAAAAAATTTAAAAAAAATACTTGAATTCAATGTCTGAAAGTGTTAAACTCACAATAAAAGACAAGGGGGAGGTTATGTTAGGCACTAAATCATAAGTTCCATTTTATTCCTGCAAGTCTGTAACAAATTAAAGCTTTGACTTGTTCACATTAATTTGGATGCGACTGTACATCTGGTAGCTGAAATTTATACCACTGAGAAACACAGTAGCCTACATAAGGACAAAAAATCAAATCGTAGCTTTCTCAGGTGTTTCTTAAAGTGGAGAGGTATCTCGTAAAAATAAGGGGGGTATTGAGGTGTCACATACATCGACCCTCCAAAGCACAAGGGGACCCGAGCTGCAAGACCACTTCAACAGAGTGAGAGGCCACTCGCATTAGTGTAGCGATTAGAGAAATATAGTGTGCTGTTCGAGCACAACGCAGACACAGAACAATGTCTGCAGACGTGTACTGGCCCAAACTTACAGTAAAGCTACAGTCCGCAGACCAGGAGAAAATCCCTGCTAAGAATTCGATATACGCGCATGCGCAAGATTTCGCGACGAGTGACGACCCATCCTAAAAGCATTCGTTCCACAACCACTGAACGAACAACAGGCGACAGGCTTTCATGTGTTCTAATGGGTACAGCTTTAAGATTACCTCACAGTGGCACAGCGATTTAATCTAGAATATTATCAGAACACATTAGAGATGCACAGTCCACAGACCAGGAGAAAATCCCTGCTAGGAATTCGATATACGCGCATGCGCAAGATTTCGCGACGAGTGGCGACCCATCCTAAAAACATTCGTTCCACAACCACTGAACGAACAAACGACAGACAGGCTTTCATGTGTTCTAATGGGTACAGCTTTAAGATTTACCTCACAGCGGCACAGCGATTTAATCTAGAATATTATCACAACACATTAGAGATGCACAGTCCACAGACCAGGAGAAAATCCCTGCTAGGAATTCGATATAAGCGCATGCGCAAGATTTCGCTGAGTGACGACCGATCCTAAAAGCATTCGTTCCACAACCACTGAACGAACAACAGACAACAGGCTTTCATGTGTTTTAATGGATACAGCTTTAAGATTACCTCACAGTGGCACAGCGATTTAATCTAGAATATTATCACAACACCCACAGGACACAGAAGAGACGCTCTCACTACACGCTACTCTTAACTGCTTGATGTTTTCAGTCTGTGTAGTAGCGTAAAACTCTGACGTGTCACACTTCCCACCAATAGCAGCCCTCTAGTCCAGCTGATAAGTAACATTCCCTTTGCAGAGATTTTCTCGTCATCTGTGCACTATAAAACGCATTGAATGTCCTAGATTATTATTATTATTATTACTATAATTAAAAATGTAAACGCTCAAAGACCTCTGAACCCGAGTCCAGGGGTCAAAGTTCTTGAGTCTTTGAAAAATTTTGTTGTCACAAGTACAAAGTCCGCGTAACTTTTGTCGCAAGCCTTAGAGATCGCTGTAAGAGTTATAATACTAACCTTTAACCTTCTTGAAAATTACAACAGCAATGTTTGCCGAAACGTTTGTAAACACTGAATATCCTACGCGGTTGTCACCCGAAAATCGAAGTTAAACATCGGACTCCAACCGCCGAGAAAGCTTCAGACAAGTACAAGAACATTATACCCCTCGCCTCACTGCCTGGCGGGTGTGTGTGTGTGTGTCAGAACGGGTTAACTGAAATGTTCCATCTTCGCCTGTTTCAGTCTCGGACAGACGAAGGCTCAGATGTAAATGTCAACGTTCGAACCAGACAACTGAAAATACCCAACTAACCGGGTCCAAGATAAAATAAACAAAGAAAATTATGTGCGTCATACCGTCAGTAAGTTTGGTCGTGTTCAAACATACCATAGACGTCATATTCGAGTCTTGTTCGAGATGGCACGCGGCCAAAAACTCCCTCCGGAGCGCCAAGGGTAACCACTTCTTGAGAAAGAAGCAGGAGAGAGAGAGAGAGAGAGAGAGAGTAACTGCTCTTAACATTTCGGCAAGGGAGTAAAAAGACGATCTACTGTCATACTGCAGAGCCGGAGAAGACGAAGCCAGTACAAGCTACACTCCACAAGTTCCTTTTCACTATATTTTTCAGAAAATGAATCCTTCTCTCATGGAATTGTAAAGAGTATTTCCTCTGGTGGGGCAGTGGTCCCGTAACCTCAATCCTGCAAGGAAAAAGTTGTCATTGGAACCACGGTTCCGGAGGATTTGACGTAAATACGTCTATACGGAAAGGAAGTTTATATATTGGCTTTATTCTAAATATTTCCTTTATACATGCTTTACAATTGCGTAAAGTTTGATTAAGACATTGCTTATTTAACTTCAATTAGTTATGCGACCGCCCTTCCGCTGACTGTTCTTCTTCTTATTACTCTGGTTGCCCCGGGATCAAACCCAGTAGCGTGCCCGGTTTGCTTGCGGTTACAGCTTGATATAAAGCGGAAGGACATAAGGAATAATAATTGGTGTAGGGTTTCTCGGCGAGCAAGATTGTCCGACTCTCAGGGATTATACGGGGACTGTGATAGTTGGAGCGGCCGTGCGCCAAGGACGTGAAATCTGTGGGGATGATCAACTGCAGACCACACCGAAGTCACCTTTTAATTCCTTTCAATAAGTTATTCTGATTTTTGGGCAGCGCGATGATTCGGCTGTTGTATTTTGTACTTGAAATATGATGAATCGAGGAGAAACTGTCTGCTTGCCTTGAAGAACCGAACTTTCAGAGAGCGAGCCCCAACGCAACCTCGCTTTTTATATTCCCGCAACGTAACTGTTCTTGAATTTTGAATTGAATACGACAATCAGATTCGCCCCCCAAAAAGTCACTTATGACGTCGGAAACGTGCCGAACAGCCACATTCAAATTTCATTGGTCCGAGTCGTAGTGGAGCAGCGGTCATCTGGCAATCGTCACATCACACCTACTAGGGCGCCCCAAACCAACGGTTACTAAACCGAATGTCGGGGGAAGAGACTTTCACACGCCAGGATGGCGCCACTCTCTTTCCCAATGTGATACATTGGACAAAGCCAAAACTTAATAAAATCACTCAAATTTTGATGAAGTGAGGTGTACCAAGTATCATCTAATCACACCTCCTTCGTTCATATAAACCAGATTAATATGCCAAAGCCTGGTTTACCCCTCATCTCAAGTTTCAGTCCGTTCGGGAATTGAACCACGGACCTGGACTGGCACAGTTACGCTTAAGATGGGTCTGTGGTAGCTGAATTTAATGTAAAGTAATGTTTTATAGGTAACAACAATTCCGAGTAAACACATCGTTCCCTAGGTAACCAGGTTCCACTTTTTCGTTTCCCTTTTTCGTTCCACTTTTTCGCCGAATGACCCTTCCTTATAGACGTATTTACGTCAAAAAAACCCCTCATAGTGCTGATGCTGTAACAGCAGATACCTATTTTTGCAACTCCTGGCGCATGGCCTGTCAATGACGAAAGCAAAAGTTCGTATTGCATCTTGGGACTCACATGGAAACAGTCTGGATCTTCTAAGATAAATAAAAACGCATGTAATTCGCTAGCAAGCTCGCTGTGGTCCGTCTGTGTGTTTCATTACATACTTCTTACGCGATCACGTGGCGAAGCGTCTATTAAAACATCTGACTGCCTGTCCACATGTCACAATAAATTTTTCAAACGATCTGCCATTGGTGAGTTTTTTTATAATACTTGTCTAGACGCTCCACGTTTCAGTCTAGAAGCCGACAAACCCTAACGGGCACTTCACATCAAGATCTAAACGCATTTTTCCAAAGCAACTGGATGGGGAATCCCCAACTGTCTCGTGGGGAATCCCCAACTGTCTCGTGGGGAATCCCGATATTGACAATAGTCAAATAGCAAGCCAGCGCGTAAGATTTATTGCACTGTGTACACATTCCAAAATTCTTTTGTTTGGTGTTAAGTGTCGGAACCTACAAGTTTCTTAGGCTGTGATTGGTCAGACAAGTTCACTAGCCAGAGTTTGTTCTAACAGAGTCATCATTCACAGATAGCAGTTCCAAAGTTCCTCAGCTCCAAAACCTACCTTGTACTTATCGGAGTCGAGCTTGGACTCGGCGGTCACATACATAACTGTCAGCTACGTGCTCCAGAAAACAAAAAAAAAACATGGAAACTTAGTCCTGTCTTACATAAGCGGCTACAAACGCTTAGCACCAGGTGAAAGTTTGAGAACATCGCGTCCCAAGCGAAGCAGAACACAGATATTACGTAAATTCGCTACTTAATCTTTTCATTTTGCAGAACAATGGTTTATTAAACAAACTGCCTGATGACGTAATGAATCACGAACGATGTTACACGCATTTTTGAGGTCAAAGATGATGAGGAATTATAAGTTCCAAGTGTCGAATTTATGGCGAGACACAAGCAAACAATGCAAGCCGACCTATTTATTCAAAGTATGCTCTGACGAGTTACTTTTAATGCATAAATGCTAGTTATCCTTAATAAAATCACATCACGACGCTTTACGAACATCTCAGGTCATTCAAAAATACCGGATGCAAAGATTTCGTCTCGAACTACTTGTAGGGAGGGAAGAGTTACGTAGATTTCTTAGAAAATAAATTCGCGATAGGGAATAACTTTTTATTCGCGAAAAACGAATGGCTAAAGAGAGACTTTAATTAATTTCAACGCCTGTAGTCGTATTGCACAACAGAAAAAACAAAGTCTGCTGATAAAATACAGGACACTGCCTCCTTCAAACTTGGCATTCGAAAGGCCAAGAAATTTTACAAAACGCCTATTAATTTACCAAAAATCTTAATGTTTTATATTTCGCGTAAAATAGCCTTGAAGTGAAAAGAATGCCTATATTTCAGTTTGTGTCACAACACGATATAAAGCATACCACAACCATCTGTGATTTAATAGATCAGTGATATTCAACCTGGGGTACGCGTACCCCCGGGGGTACGCAAAGATATCTTAGGGGGTACGTGAAATTTAAAATATATATATTATTTTATGATAAACACTGAATAATCAGTAATGTAATTTATTTAATTAATTTTAGATGTAGATTATATACTATGCATAACTTGAATTATACACCAACAACTTTGGGGGTACAAAGTTGAAGAGAAATTATATCTGGGGGTACGCGAACAAAAAATGTTAAATACCACTGGTCTAGATCACTTGTTAGCACTCAGAATCAGATTACAAAGGCAGCAGGAAGCCATGGGGCGACTACAATAGTGAATTTCAATCATAAGCCGGTGTGATGGCACAACTGCGCACAGAGATTCACAAGTTCACTCTCTCTGCCACAAATCTCGGAACCTCGCCACAGACACACATCATGGCCGCCGCGGACAAAACGTCTCGCATAAAGATGTATACGACTTAAAATCCTTCGCCATAAAAAATGGTATGGAACAGCGTACATAACCGCTTAAATTACAGCGAAATACAAATGTTTTATGACGTACCAATTTTTAATTTCAAAATTCGCGTATTTTCAAGCGTCCATTGGGGTTAATTCAGTGACTGACGCTAAGGTCACTTCTGCCACATTCAGATGTTTGCAAGCCTGCCATGTCAGCGGTTATGACGACAGGGAAGTTATTAACGTAAATTGAATTGTGTCAAGGTGATTTCCAAACCTGTCGTAAAAATCATACATTTTGAAAATTCTCCAAGACAGAAAATTTTACCAACAGGTCAGTGAAAGATATTTTGATATATCACGTCATTAATCTATCTGAATAAGATGAAAATGGTGGCCTGGTAGCTTGGTTTGTTGGTGAATATTTGCTGTTGATGAATTCTGGGTCTCGCTAGTTGTTTATGGCGTGTGTTACTTACGAGTTTTCAGTCATTCTTGAAGAGTAATTTTTGTTTTATATAATCATTTATATGGTATGATATATCAAAATTTGTTTTTGTCCATCATTGCGACAAAGTTTGTCAAAAGGCTTTGAGGTTATGTTTACCCCAAAAATTCTAAAACATTCAACTACAGTGACAAGGCATGGTATTTTTGAATTGTTGCAAATTGAAAATGAGGAATTGACATGACGTGATGCAACGAAAACATGAAGAGGTCTTGAAAAGAAAATGTCTCACATAAAATTGGTGTTTTGTCTCTTGCCCACTCGACAAATACATTCATTTCTGTACAAACTGTAAACCTTCCAAGATTTTAACCTACAGCTCCAAAAAAAAAAGGTTGGCATTTCTGTTTGAATAACGCCATGAATCTGGCATTTTTACTGTAAACAGAATCTATTAGCACCACCAAATGTACATATTTTAGGACATATCACCCTATAAATGAGATCTTCAACAATTATCATATTTAAATTACTCTAATGGAAAACTGGTAAGTGACCTGCAACTAGAAATGTATAGGAAGTGATTTCAAGGGAGATACAGAATTAATAATGTGTGTGTCATGACAAAGACAGATCTTAACAATTTACGAACATAATACATGTATTTAAAGGCAAGTTAGAAATAAATTGTTATACAGTTGGAAATGTGATTATTCTACTCTATTAATTTATTTAAAATTGACTTCATTGTGTTTTTGGGACTCGTTCTGACAGCTACCTCCATGGAGCAGAGTATTTTTTGAGAATTATTCAGCTGGTCGAAAAAGTTCTCCAACTTTTACAGAATCCATACGTTCACTACAGAACTCATAAGAGCTCAATGCTAATCCATCTCCTGGGCAAAATAAATAATTTAATAGCCACAGTTAGGATTTTTCCACCACTCAAAATACTGTGACAATCTACCAAGTGCATTACCATTCTCATCTTTTACAAAGTTAGATCTGTATTCATAACCTTCTTATTAAAATTGCATGCATGATGTATAATGTTGTAACTGTTGAAGTGTCATTGTTCATTGTTTCTATAATTAATAAGAAATACTGAAATCATTTGCTAAGAGTTTGGGATATAATGTCGAGTATACTGAAAAGCTGGGATATTTCCAACACGTAAATATCTTATGGATCACAGTCTTAAATCTGTTATATTGAATCTTTTGTATGTTCTTTTAAAAAATTCCTGCTACATGTTAAAACTGTCAAAACTGACTTGACAGTGCTTTATATATAAAGTGTTTTTTGCAGCTGTTAACATCTGAAAGATGTTTCTATAAATTTACACAGTTGATAAATTTTGATTAAATAAATAAATAAAATTATTTAACTACACAAGACACAGCAAACTACTTTTCTCGAGCGATCCCTAAAACCTTTCCAAGCATAATTCTTATTCCCACAACAGTAAATGAAACTTAGAGTGAAACAAATTCTTTTAAATCAAAAAATTCATGTGGTTATGATTTAATATCAACAAATTTACTCAAAAGCTGTGCAGACTATATTCATGTTCCTTTAAGTTGCCTTTACAATCAATGAATGGCAGTAGACGTTTTTCCAGAATGACTCAAATATTCAAAAGTTAAAGCTCTACATAAGAAAGGTGAAAATTAATGCAACTACAGACCACTTTCATCACAAACAGCTTTCTCTATTTCAAACCCAATGACCTTGCAGGTGAACAATTTGGATTTAAGAAATTTCTCTCAATTTTGTAAATCTCGTTACAATTTACACATATCAAAAATGTTCTTAATGATGAAAATCCATTTTAGTTGAATATCTTGTGATCTTTCCAAAGCATTTCATTGGGTATATAATGAATTATTACAATCAAAACTACGTTTTCATGGAATTTGAAGTACACCTCGTCAGTGGTTTAAATCAAACCTTCATGACAGAACGCAACAAATATAAATAAGAACACCAGATTCAGATAATACCACCTATTCAAATTTAGGCATTATAAAAAATGCAGTTCCTCAAGGTTCAATACTGGGTCCTCTACTTGATTTACCACCAACCATTAATTCTCAGTCTAAGCCACACTACCTTAATAAAAACTTCTCAGCTATTATAAATAAATGTAAGCAACAGCGGTGTGGCTTTCTTGTGTAATATTTTATGGCAATACTGTCGCTGCAAACTATGTAATTTATATTTGTATCAGAAACTAGTATTGTATTTATGCTATGACATATTCTACATCCTTGGTTTGAGGAAGGATCTATGGCATGTAAATAAATTATATTTTATTTACCAAAAGCAGTTCATTCAACAATTGAATATAGGCATGCAATACACAGATTGCTAAGTCCCTGACGTTTGTGAATTAATTCGTGGGCACAATGTACCGTGTGTTTAAACATTGCATACTGTAAATTGAAGTCGCTTAGCCTTGGTTTTGTTACCATAACAGTGTATCCAAGCACCCACCTAAGTTCACAGTAAACGAATTTTCAAATACTAAATAATTTGGAAGATGTAAGTTCGAACGTTTAATTCCCAGAAAGTTTAACGAACTGTTTCTCCCGTCCCTACCCACACAATTCCATGTGTTAATACTTCCTTACTTCACTCATGCAAATACCCCTACAGGTGTCATTCGGTCGGTATTACCAACATTTCCATACTGCCAACAGAAATAAAAGCCTTAGACCTACTGGAAACAAACAGGGTATCGGAACACGTGCAACTAGGAATCCAGCCAAACATACCTATGGCGCCACAACTAACTCAAGGCACAAATAATAAATGCTGACTTACCGCCAGATTTTAGGTTAGCTCCTTCTTCGATCGGTATTACAAGCAACGGCAACACACCACTCAGACCGATTACTGCAGAGCCAATGACGGAGAACAGCCATGGATGATTATCAAAATTCGGAATTAATGATATTACTGGAATCCATAAATCTGGGAGATAATTAATCGAGAATGTTTTGTAAACACTCCAAACTACTCCATCACTGGTACCGTTTCTCAGAAACTGGCTTTCTGCAGCTGACATTGCACCCATTGAGCACATGTTGAACACGCACACACAAAAATCGTACTCTGTTTCTTCTGAAAGCCCCGAGAAAATGATCACAGTATTTGCACAATTGTAATAGTGTTTAATATTCCACTTGTATGGACTAAGAAGTCACTTTACAAACAACTTAACAAAAGTAAAAGTTAATATTCGATAGATAAAACACTCAGTTCAAATATTCTCTATCACTTCAAGTGGATTGTATTCAATTATCAAAAGATATAAACGTAATTATTTAATCTTTGTTCAGACACAAACCACTTACACTCACAGGTGCAGAGCAGCTTGCTAGGTTACTGATTGGTTTGTCAGTTCATGTTCAAGACCTGTGAATGCTCAATATCGTACACTCGCTCTCAAAATTAATTTCCATTGATAAAACTCGCGCTGCCAAGCTGGTTACTTTCATCTTGACAGAAGGAAATTCCCCAATGATCACACGATTAATTTAGTGCATTCTACGTCGGTATGTTGTCCTCACTGAAATCTGCCATCTGTGGATTATTTTCGAAGTAGGATATGGATGGAAATTCTTGAAGTGATTGTACAGAAATTGCCGCTAGATGTCGCAGCAATGCAGAAGAGACAATATGGCGACGACATGATGTATAACACAAATAGCGTTGAGACCGTGTGCTTATTTGAGTTGCTGTAAAAGTGAAACAAGGAACACTGTGAAACAGTTCTTCAATAAATTTTATTCATAGACAAAACAACCAACTATCTTCAAAAAGTAGTAAAATTTTAAATTATCTGCCATTGTTTAGATGCATATGGTTTATTTTTATCAGTGCCAACGTTATTAGTTTATTTTCATTGATTTAGCCATTTTTTGTCAGAGCATTGACACCCGACGCGTCAATAAAATTATGTACATGTAAAACCTCAGATAAATCTACAATGTAACAGGAAGTATCACATTACAATAACTTTCTCCATGGAAACATACACAATATATCAAAATATTTCGTGAAGTGTATGACGTATTCTGCTACCGAGTGGAATGAATGGTGTGATAGGATCTAAGCTTTCTCCTTAAATGATTATTAATTGTTTCCAGTTTCCTAATTTGTTTTGGTAAGTTATTGAATGATTCGATTTCTATTTTCGCAACATTAATATTACAGGCTGTTGTCATACAAAACTGGATAATTAACCTTTGACGTGACTGAAATTGTGTTCCAATTTCTCTGTGTTTGTTTAACACAGTGTTTCAAATATGCATAAACATGCTACTGGGAGTATGTGTAATATCTAAAGAGTTGTCTGCATGAAGTGTTGTGCCAAACCATGAATGTAAATATTCCAAGGCCTTATTGATTTTTGTTTAAGGATTATCTCTCTCTGTGCCATTACTGACATGTTGATATCTGCAAATAGAAGTACGTTTTTCTCCTTGGATATTTATTAGCACATCAATTACGCATAATAAGAATAGTATTGTCCTGAGAATTGAATCCTGAGGTATGCCATGTTTTATTTCTCTTCAGATGAAAATGTATTTTTCACATATTAAGGTCTTTCTTTCATTCTGGTGCATTTCAACAAGTTGCTTTGAATGTGATAGGTATGATTTGAAACCACGAGTTACGCTTTGCATCTAACTTCATGTGATGATGGCTTGGAAATTTTTATTTTATGGTTAATAACATCATATGCATTTGTTAAACCAAAGAAAATTCCATTTGGATTTTCTTTTCTTTTCAATAGACTCTTGCATGTTTTCCAAAAAAGATTGCATTGCTGTCTCTGTTGATTGCTTTTTCCTGAATCCATTTTTGGCTTCTGGTGATCTATAATTTCTTGTCACAAAGGAAATTAATCTTTTTTCCTAAATTTATTTTAAAAAATAGACAACATAGGTATTGTCAGATTTAAGGTTTTACTGATGGTGGGTACAAAGACTTCTGTCTTCTGGGTTTTAGTGTCGTGTAGTCTTGTAGAAATTTACCTGACATTTCAGAGGTCCTTGCTGCTTCCATCATCATTGTGATTAGGGATTAATTGATCTGGAAACATACGAGATTGTAACGAAACATTGTAAATATGTGCTAACAGGTTTTTTACTACGTACGTGTTTAACTACATGACCTGGTACCACATCAATATCTGCTGAGTGTTTACCCTTAACATTTCTCAATACTTCTACTTCGGACTCATTTACTGGGAATGTAAACATGGTTTTATTACAACTATTTTTTTGATTCTGTGGCTATCAGTATTCTTGTTGGATCTTATTTTTTTGTGAATAAAATTAGAGACTCGTTAGTACAAATATGGATGGCTGTCTTCTTGGATGTTATACTTTGTAGTCTGGTAGGAGTCCAGCAGCATTTTAAAGGTGCTTGCTGCCTCCGTCATCAGTGTGATGATGACGAAGGGCAGCAGTCACCTCTGAAACATAAATAAACTCATACACAGTGCAACATCTCACAAGACAGTTATCAAATATACAGATTTTGAAAAGTCAGATTACGTTGTGTTGAATGTCTGGACCAATAAGCTACCTGGAATATTTTTAGTAAAAATTAGAAATCATCATGTTCTGTATAAAACTTGTAACTTACATAGTTTGCATTGATTACTGTATTCCGTGTTCATGTGTCATCACCGAATTAACCAAAGCCCTCCACTGGACCCTTAACTGGGGCTCGTCACCAGACTATAGGATAAAATCACTAAATAATAGGAGCTGATAAATCGTATAGACTGTGATACACTTAAAATATCTGAGAACGGTGTTACAAAATCTGAATTGAATTCATGAGGAAATTAAGAGCAGATTAAATTCAAGGAATGCTTGCTACCATACAGTTCAGAATCATTTCTATTCACCTCTGCTATCCAAATACATGTACAGATCCATATATTTTTATTGTTGTTTTGCCTGGGTGTTAAACCTGGTCACTCTCGAGACAGTGGAGAAAATTACATGATGAGGAACTCCATAATTTGTACTCATCACCAAATAGCCTTTATTAGGTTGATAAATTTGTGGATGATGACATGGATAGATCATGTAGCATGGGGAGGTGAGAAATTCTTATAACATTTTGGTTTCAAAGCTGTAGGGATAGAACCACTCAGAAGACCTAGACAGAGATGGGAGGAAAATATTATATTGGATCTTAGGAACATAGAGTTGAGGGATATGAATAGGTTTCTTATGCCTCAGGATAGGGACTGTTGTCGGGCTCACGTGAACGCGGAATGAACCTTCGAGTTTCATAAAAGTCAGGACGTTTCTTGGCCTACCGATCATACTACTAATTTATCAGGATGGACTCTACTCCGTGCTATTAGTTACTGTGCGCTATATAAGTGTATACTATTTTATCAATGTTTTGCAGTCATTTCAGTATCTGATTCCATTGAGTCTTGCGTATTTCTCTTTTCTCCTTTCTTAATCTTTGCCTTTCTAAACTGAGTTCTCACACATTGGGCTCCGTTGAATAGGAATATGTGCACATAATTTTTTAAAGTCTTGATGCTTTGTTCCAAAATATTTGTCGTAGCTTTATACATGTGCTGATGCATGTGACCGGCCATTTAAATACAGTCTGGATGGCATTTTCTGAGAGCGCGAATAACTTAGTATTTACCAGTCTTATGTCTTGACAGTGAACTTTTCTCTCAGCTGCATTTTCCCCCCTCAATTTTAAGTTGAGTTGGTAACCATTAAATAACTTTTTGTAATGATCAAACTTACAAACTTGTCGTGGGTAATTGTGATAACAGAATGGATTCTTTACCGATGCTGGGGTGCCTCGCTTGTTCTCCGTAACTGGAAAATCTCTGTCCAAATTCAAGTAATTTATATTTTCACTTTTTCGAAGTCAATAAACTATGCACCAAATAGTAGCAAATCATATTTTGAAATTGTTTGTTACCATTCAGTAAAATGGCTGCCTTGTCTTCAGAACCTCATCTTCCAGTGTGGCGTAATCACATCGTTATGCACTGATTTCTGTTTGTACACAAAAATTGTATGTCCGCAGTTCTCATCAATAAGTTGCAATGTTTACGTTAGAGTGACAAGCAGGCCATGTTAGCCGTAAATCAAAATATGTGTCCTCTTACTTATTATTTCCAAAATATTCACTGTGCATGCAGTTTTGAACCAATTATTCTTTATGGAAATTCTGGCTTGTGGAGTAATTTCTGTTTCAATGCCTATTTTTTTTCTAATTCCATTTACAACTTTAGGGTCTCGAAAATGAAGGTTGTACTGTTAAACCTCTCTAAGTTGGACACTTGGTGTTTCACGAAAATGTGTCCAACTTACAGATGTGTCCAAGATAGAGGGAAGGAGAAAAAACAGATTGTGGTCCAATGACAATATAATCTATCTACTTACGTACACTAACTACTGTAGCACAAGACAGTTATCAAATATACAGATTTTGAAAAGTCAGATTACGTTGTGTTGAATGTCTGGACCAATAAGCTACCTGGAATATTTTTAGTAAAAATTAGAAATCATCATGTTCTGTATAAAACTTGTAACTTACATAGTTTGCATTGATTACTGTATTCCGTGTTCATGTGTCATCACCGAATTAACCAAAGCCCTCCACTGGACCCTTAACTGGGGCTCGTCACCAGACTATAGGATAAAATCACTAAATAATAGGAGCTGATAAATCGTATAGACTGTGATACACTTAAAATATCTGAGAACGGTGTTACAAAATCTGAATTGAATTCATGAGGAAATTAAGAGCAGATTAAATTCAAGGAATGCTTGCTACCATACAGTTCAGAATCATTTCTATTCACCTCTGCTATCCAAATACATGTACAGATCCATATATTTTTATTGTTGTTTTGCCTGGGTGTTAAACCTGGTCACTCTCGAGACAGTGGAGAAAATTACATGATGAGGAACTCCATAATTTGTACTCATCACCAAATAGCCTTTATTAGGTTGATAAATTTGTGGATGATGACATGGATAGATCATGTAGCATGGGGAGGTGAGAAATTCTTATAACATTTTGGTTTCAAAGCTGTAGGGATAGAACCACTCAGAAGACCTAGACAGAGATGGGAGGAAAATATTATATTGGATCTTAGGAACATAGAGTTGAGGGATATGAATAGGTTTCTTATGCCTCAGGATAGGGACTGTTGTCGGGCTCACGTGAACGCGGAATGAACCTTCGAGTTTCATAAAAGTCAGGACGTTTCTTGGCCTACCGATCATACTACTAATTTATCAGGATGGACTCTACTCCGTGCTATTAGTTACTGTGCGCTATATAAGTGTATACTATTTTATCAATGTTTTGCAGTCATTTCAGTATCTGATTC